GAGGGCAGTGTCACTGGCCCTCATATGTGGGATCCGAACTGGGGCCCTCTGGCATCCCAAGCCAGTTCTTAACCATCGCGCCACTCGGCTGGCCCGGCTAGTTGCTTATTAATTTCTCACTTACATGTTTTGTAAATTTACAGATTGGGTGCTACCAAGGTTTTGCTTTTGCTTGGAGATGTCTCCTGCACAGCCGTGCCACTGAGAAAGACAGGTAAGGTTTGAGACTTCTTTCTTTTTCACTGTGTGGACCAGGAGTTCTGGTTCCATTCGCTTGCTGTGATCTTGGGCAGTTACTGTCTCAGCGTCCTCATCTGGAAAATGGAGAAAGTAATCATAACACATTAGAATGTTGTTATGAGATTCACAGGAAGTGGTACAGCAGTCCCCCTTATCTGCGGTTTCAGTCAGCTGTGGTCTGAAAATATGAAATGGAAAATTCCAGAAATAAACAATTCATAAGTTTTAAACTGTGCACCATTGTGAATAGCGTGATGACGCCTTGCGCTGTCCTCCCCTTTGTATCCAGGACATGACTCGTGCCTGTGTCCAGTGTGTCCACGCTCTAGACGCTCCTGCCCGTTAGTCACTCAGGTGCCGGCTCGCTGATCAGATCAGCTGCCTCGGTATCGCGGGGCTTGTGTTCACGTCACTCATTTTCATGGCTGCAACGCGCAGGAGTCGTGATGTGCCATTCGAACGTGCCGGAGACAAGCCGTAAAGTGCTTCCTGTAAAACAGTATGTGAGGGTTCAGTGCTGCCCACGGGGTCTCCGAATGTACCCCCTGCAGACAAGGGGGACCTGTAACCAGGAAGTGCCGGGCACATTTTCAGTGTTTGATGAACTCTGGTCGTTACTACTTCTTGAGTTCTCATGTCCCCCAGCTTTCCCCTGTTGCCATTAGAGCATCGGGTGGCTTTTAGATAGACTGCCAGTCAGATAATGTTGAAATTGATTATATCTCCTCCATCTTTCCTTTAAACTTTTAATAAGCGGAGTACAATAGTCTTGGTATGACTAGGGCTCAGAAATGGTGACCTTGTTGTCACCAAGTTTTTTGAAAGTGCAGCCAACCAAGTCTGTTAATGAGATAACACATTTAATGTGTTCGATACGTGTCTGGTTCTTAGCAGCACTGAGTACATGCTAGCTGTGGTAGCCTTTTCAAGCGGTTCTTACTGCGTGCTGCCTGCCGCAGGCCCCGTGACCCTGTCACATCTGTATTCATTCTGAAGCTGGAAACGAGCCCTTAAGTAGAAGGAGCTCATCGTCTGGCTGTCCCACCCTCCTGCTCATGGGAACCGACTCAGCCCGGGCTGGTGCTCTGCATCCTGATGCTTGGTGGCTTTGCTTAAACTGGGAGAGGCGCGAGCAGAGCGGGCAACAGAGCAGGGAAGGTGGCATTCCTCTGTCGGGTGACTCGTTGCCTTTATGAAATAGTTGGAATTTCTAGAATTTGCCCGCCCCCCGATGTTTAGATGTAGGATGTCTGCCTCTGAGCCTGGGTGATCCTGAGGCTGCCTGTCTCTGACTTGTCTGTGTCACCAGGCCGCTCCATTTGCATGAGTCCTCGGGAGCCGACTGAGTTGCGCATCTTTGGGGGGGATGTCCTCTGAGGACTCAGTGGAGGCGCAGGGTGGCCCAGGATGGTTGGAGTAGTGGTTGGCAGCCTGTGGGGCCGGCCGTGGAAGCTGAGCTTGGCGCTCCACCCGGCTGCACAGAGGACCAGGAGAGGCGCCTCTTGGAGTTCTCCCTGTCCCCGCTTCTCCCCACTGCACCGTGCGCGGGGAGGGGTCCCCACACCCAGGGGCTGCCGCCCTTTGCCCAGAGCAGGGGCTCTCTAACTCCTAAAGCCCTGCCTCCAGTCTGTCTGTCAGAGCAGGAGCTGCAGTGGTTGGCTCAACAGGTGGGAGCCCCGCCCCAGCTGGGTGCTGCCCCCGCCCACCAGCCGTGCCTGAGGGGCTCTGAGCCTGAAAGCCTTTATCTTGAAGCAGTGGTTCGCAGACTGCGTTTTATAAGTCAGAACAATTTTTAAAAACTGGTAGAAGGCTGATAGAGGATCTTCTGCTTCATGTTCCAAATGAGGATGTTAGAAGAGAAACACCTGCCATCTGCACCATCGCTCAGTGAAATCGGGCTTTGACACCACAGCTGCGGAGAGCAGTAGCTCAGACCCCGGAGTGCTTTACAGCCAGGACCGTAGCTTTTCCGTAAACTCTGAGGTGCATCTTGCCCCTTTGAGCAGCCTGCTGGAGCCTCATGCAGACCGGCCAAGGGCTGAGCTCTGGGGCCCTGGCGGCGTCATTTTTGTTACATCAGCCGTGAGTGGTTCCCACCCTCCTGGCATGCACCGACTTTGCTGGGTGTGTTTGGAGTGGCTTCACTGGTCAGAGAAGGATAAGTCACTACTTGCAAAGTTGAAAATGGGTGGTGTTCTTTGTATGGTGTTAGAATACAGCCATTTCCCATATGTTGGCATCTGCCTGCGATCCCCCTGGAAACCGAGTGCTTTGTTGCTTTAATTAACTTGCTTTGACCTTTCACTTTCTCAGGGAGGAAGCCATCACCTTCCTGGCCTCACTCACTTGTGTACCTAAAGCCAGCAAATGTAGCGGGTACCCAGGAGGTCTTGGTTGCTTTGAATTGTTCTTGATTCATCTCGAGGACACGTTTTTTGAAAGTCCCATTAATCTAGCATATTCCTGACACTCAGCTGATCAGATGTGGGGCATTACTGAGATGTGCACATCTGCCTGTTTTTAAGCTGCCCCCAGGTGAGCACCCTGGCCTCCAGGGTCTGGTGGAAGTGGGGAGACTAACATTTATGGAGCGCCTTCCCTGTGCTAGGTTCTGCGCTTGCCACAAAATATCTGGGCTCTGGAGAGCCTGTGGGGTCGCAGTTAAACCCCCATTTTACAGATGAGGACGCCAAGGTCACGCTGAAAACTGGGTGCCTGGGCGCCCGTCTTCACAGCCACCTCGCCACCCAGCACAGCCCTTTTTCTTTTGGAGGGGGCCAGACTCACATGGGACACGGGCCCTGCCCTTGGCAGGGAGGGGCCAGCTGGTTCACCTGCCGCTGAACTCCCACACCTGGGAGCAGCGTGTCTAGGTCCTGGAAAGCCCCCAGGTCCAGAGCAGGCTTGGTCGTGCCCAGCGCGCCCTTTCCTGTCTGGCTTTGTCTGTTCCCGTGGCTGTGACCTCGGGAAGCAGTGGTCGGCGTGCTTCGTGCGGGCTGCCTCCGTCACCTGGCTCCACAGCTGGGCTGGAGGCACGTCTGCTGCTCGGCCCTACTTGATGTGGAGGCATGGGTGTGGGTGAGAGCACGTTGCTAAGTAAATAAATATTTCGTGTAATGAGAAAGTGAGTCACCGGCTCCTGAACCCAGCCGTGCCTGGCACGCCAAAGTGCCTAAGGAAGTGATCGCTGTAGTTGGTACCTGAGCTGAGCCTGTTGTGTACAGAGGACTAAGTCTTTCATTTCTGTGCTTTACAGCAGAAAGATGAAGGTCTTAGAATCGTTGATTGGAATGATTCAGGAATTCCCTTATGATGACCCTACTTACGCCAAACTTCACGACGACTTAGACAGAATTAGAGGAAGATTTAAACAGGTTTGTCCACTGTGCTCTTTTGGTGAGAGTGCCTTCCTCAGTAGAGCCCGTGGACCCTGGGGGCTCACTCTGCTGACGGTCTTGGGCTGCGTGTGCAAGTCGTTTTGTGTGTGGACGTGAAGACATGGCAGAGTCTAGAGAGGAGGTGTGAGGACTGCGGAAGGTTGGGACATGGACAAGAAAAGGTGCAGCTAGAGCGAGAGGTGGGCTCTAGTTTGTGAGGCAGAATACACGAGATTGTAAAATACCATCTTTTTTCTTTTGTGTTTTCAGCTTTGTTCATTACTGAATGTTCAGCCGGACTTTAAAATAAGTGTGGAAGGTTCTGAACTTTCATTTTGAGGATGACAGATGAACAAAGACGAAACATCAAGAGACAGATGTCCGTGTGTTAAGTGTTGAAAAATGTGGCTGAAGAAAAACAGTGATGGGGTCGGTCTTCGTTGTTCTGGAGGGAGGCTTCCAGCTTGGCCGGTGAAAGGGCTCCCTTCCCCCGGTCTGCCTGTGTCGCCTCGGTGTCCCCACGGGGCCTCCACGCAGCCCTGTCCTTGTGCCGCCCTGTCTGCTGTGCGGCCCTCGCGAGGCGCTCACTTCTGGTCCAGAGTCCGCGGGCCTCACCAGTCCCGTCCAGCTGGGCAGCTGGCCTGGCAGGTTTCTCGACTGGGGTTGGCTTTGTGGGGGACTCCCCCCAAGCCTGGACTCAGAGCTCAGATGGACAGTTTTTCAAAAAGTGAGAGCGACAGGGCTGACATGAAGTTGGTGAGTGGGAGGCAGTGGTGAGCGCCATGACATTTAAGGTGCACCAGCACCCTGTGGCGTGCCTCCGTGTGTTTAGTCCCTTCCGGAGCCCACCAGGTGAGGTTATTCCCATTTTCCAGATGCGAGCACAGACCTGTGGCTTCCGGCACAGGAGAGGCCAGCAGGCCGCTCAGCCCTTCAAGGGGGGTGGTTTGCAGCGTTAGAACCAGTTACAGGGGAAAATGTTAAACTCAAGACTAAGCGTTAGCCACCACGCTACATGCAGAAGCTTTCGGAGCCTGACACTGAGAACCCTGCCTTCGCCCTTTTAGTGAGTTCTTTTGTCTCCGCCTGCACAGAGGGCTTCATGTATGCAGGGTGAGGTCGGGAGCAGGGGCAGGGTCCCCGGGTCAGTCCTCGCCGAGCTGAGTGGTTGTCGACGTGTTTCTGCCACCTCATATGTGACCGCACGTGCCCACATCCCCAGAGGGTGCCCAGGGCTGCTGGCACGCTGGCCCCCACTCCTGTCGGGGGGAGTGTGTCTGAAAATGGAGTGAGGTGAATAAAGGAAGTGGCTGGAGACCCGAGGGCGATCCCTAGGGAGCCGGGACGGGCATTCCTCAGTCGGCGGTCCTTGCTGCAGTAATGTGTGTGTCCTCACCTGCAGCCCCTCAGTTCGGGGGTGCCTCGTGTGCTGGGTGCACCCCTCAGACACTGCCTTCCTCACGCTGGTCCTCCAGGGCTATCTCCCGGCAGCGGGAGGCAGGGGCCACTGCGTTTCCCTTGCTGGATTTTTGTGTGTTCTGTTATCTGTTTTGATAATGTATTTTTAATTGGAGAAGAAAATAAACAGCGTATTTTAAAGCTAAAGGCCACCTGGGATCATTCATAATGCGACATCCAGCCAGTGCCTTCCTTCCTCCATGGGACTTGGGGACTTGGGACAAAAGAAGGCGTGTAGCTTTCTGTCCACGTGTTTCATTAACACAGAAACTGTTACTGTGAAAGAAGGTGCCCGTGGTGTTCATGGAAGGTCAGTTCCTGCTGACCCTGGCCCAGCTGCCTGCCAGCAGTTATCAATCCTTCCTGCCCTCAAAATTCTCTCTCCCACCCTCCCCCCATCACTGGACCAGGCTGCCTCACTGATCTTCAGGGCCCCCGGACACTGGACTTGACCTGTGCCCGCCTGGCTCCCTGGAGAACTAGACCCAGTTTCCAGGAACCCTTGGTCACCCCAGACAGCCCTCGATTCTAATACAAGCAGAGGCCCCCTTACCAGTCACTTCACACTATCCCAGCTGATGCCATCTGCGGCGGTGGGTTCAGGAATGGGCGTGGCTCCTCTTCCGGCTGATGCGATGGCAGTGGAAGCCTTTCAGGCGCTTCTGGGAAAGGGCACGTCACTTAGGAGAGACGGTGTCTGTTTTGGAAGGTGTTCCATGGGGATGTGACACCTGGAATGACTGAGGCAACGTCAGCCCAGCAGCCACCCCGGGGCACGGCAGAGCAGAGGGCCAGGGAGCGCCTGCCCGAGGACCTCACTCATCGCGTGCTCGGCGGAGAGCCATGTAAACGAGCCGATGATGCCCTCGCTCAGGGCCACTGGGTTGGGTTCCCATTGTTCGCGGGCCGTGGTGCCCTGCTTGCCCGCTCCCCCGTCCTATCCGATTCCATGCTGTCCACCTAGTTCTCTTGGATATTAACCTTTGTCCAGATCGGCTTTGAGTCAGGAGCTCTTTGGGTTGGATTTTGTCCTTCCTGGTGGATTCATAGTTTTCCCAAGGCTTTGGCCTGCTGCCTCCCTCCTCTCGGAAACTCCCAGTATGTTTTGTGCCACTTGATTAGCCCGGGCGGCCGTAATAAATACCACAGCGAGGGGCTTATACAACAGACACTTGCTGTCCCCAGTCCTGGAGACTGGAGGCCGAGAGCCAGGTGTCGGCAGGCCGGCTCTGAGGCCTCTCTCCTTGGCGTGTGGACAGCCGTCTCCTCCCTGTGTCCCTACACGGTCGTCCCTCTGTGCGTGTCTGTCCTGATCTCTTCTTATAAGGACACCAGTCCTATGGTGTCAGGATTCACAACACAGGAATTTTGGGGAGACGCAGCTCAGCCCATTACAGCCATCCTGACTTGGGACTTGGGAGAGAAGAAAGCCATTTCACTTAAAAGTTGAAGATACTTCATTTTATTTTTCTAGAGTGTTAGGAATTAGAGTAGCAGATTAATCAACCCTCTACCTAAACTGAGCACTTTGCAATTGCACTTAGAGGCACCATGGTGGCCAAAGGGAAGTGCCTGATGACAAGCCACATCGCCGCCCCGAAAAAAGGAAAGCCATGTTTTACTCTTTATTTTATTTTATTTTATTTTATTTTATTTTATTTATTTACTCTTTATTTTGCTCTTTATTTTATTTAATGTATTTACTGTTTATTTTGCTTTCACCCCATTGTCTTCCTCCTCCTAGCGGTGAGAAGGAAGAGGTTGGAGTGGCTGTGAGTGGCTACCCTTCCCTTCCTCATGCCCCTGAATTGGCCACTAACCCTGTGAGGCGCTGCTCTCCCCATTTGCCAGATGGAGGCACGGGCGCCCAGTTGCTGAGTGACATGCAATGTCCCAGCAATGGCTGCCCTCAGGCCTGACAGCACAGCGGGGGCTTGAGCAGTTTGCTTACATTACTTTCAGCTGGAAAGGAGCTCCGTTTTCTGGATAATTGGTGGCCTGTCTCTAACCGGTCTTGCAAATAGTAGACTGCGGCGGCAAAGACACGGATTTATGGGAGAGGAGCCGTGCTGGCTGCTGGAGGGGCGGCAGTGACCGAACGGGCCATCGGCCGTCCTAGACCTTGTGAGCAGGGCTCACCGGGGGATGTACGTGGCACTTGGGGAGTTCAGAGCTGGGGTGGGGGTGTTCAGCTCTGCTTGGGGAATAAGGGGATGGGAAGGAGGCAGGGAAGGCTTCCTGGAGGAGGTGGCCTTTGCACTACAAGCTTTGTGAGCTTTCTTTTGACCTCAACACCACAGAGATTGTCTCTTCCACTCCACCTGAGAATACTTGTGTAGTTTGGAGGTGCCAAAAACTATAATTAACAGGCAAGGTCAGCCCAACGTCCTCAGTTATTCAGGTCCGTAGTGAATGAAGTGAGTCACTGGCCTGCGAACCGGGAGACTGAGTCACTGAGCTAGTACGATGGACCAGAGCAGTTCTCCCAGGACACGGCAGTCCTACGGTTGAGGGACCAGACCCTGAAAGGGCCCGTGGCTTGTCTAAGCCCACATGGCTGAGTGGCTCAGCTGAGGCTCCGCAGTTAATTTTCTAAGAAGGAAAGTCACTCCTTGCTCATGAACTTTTCCGTAACTCTTTCTTTGTGGCCGATTAAACTCCTCGTGTGGCATTGCCGGCCTGTCTGTGGCATTGCCGGCCTGTCTGACAGCGATTTGGTCTCCGTGGTGTTGCTGACCAGATCAGCTGGGCCTTGGGTCCTGGGCTGGAGGTCCTGTCGTGGGTGATACCTGAATGTGATTCTCTTTCGGTCCACTCAAGAGCGTGGCGCACCAGGGGAGCTGGAGCCCCATAAACGTTCGTGGAACTGAAGCCTTAGTGAAGGGCTGTTTCCATCCTTCTAGCAAGGGGCTTTTGAACAGCTGGCGTTTTCCACTGGGTGTGTTCCCCCGAAATAGCTCATTGAGCCTGCTCTCTGGCTTTGAGAGCTCAGGCACATCTGTTGTGGGTTCAATTGTGTCCTCCAAAAAGATATGCTGAAGTCCTGGCCCCTGGAACCTGTGAATGAGACCTTATTTGGACGTGGGGTCTCTGCAGATGGAACTCAGGTGTAAGTTAAAGTGTGTTGTACTAGAGAAAGGCGGGCCCTTCATTTCATATGACTGTCTCCTTGAAGAGAAAACCCGCAGAGAGAATGCCACGTGGAGACAGACACACAGAGGCTACGTGAAGACGGAGGCCGAGATCAGAGCGATGCAGCTGTAAGCCAGGGAGCACCAGGCAGCAAGTGCCAGCAGCCACCAGAAGCCGGGAGAGAGAGCACGGCCCTGCCCACACCTTGATCTCAGACCTCTAGCCTGCAGAACTAGTTGTTTTAAGCCACCCGGCCTGTGGCCACTTGTTACAGTTGTCTCAGGACATTCATATGGGGTCCCTTTGTGTTGGCTGTAGTTTGCCCGTCTGCAGAGTGAGGGCACTGGACATACGCAGTCCAGACCCTTCCTGGCCTGACATGCAAGGGAATTCCTCAAGGGATTTTCCTCAGCTCCCCGATCTCGGCTGCTCTGCAGAGCAGATGGCAGGTGGCACTGTGTCCCAGAAAGATGCTGTTATCTCAAGGCATAGGAGCCCCCTTGGCCTGCCTTCAGGGGTCTCTGCTGGCTGTACACAAGGGCCGAGACAGGGTCTACCCCCCGAAAACTGGCTCAGATCTCCTCTAGTCTCAGCCCCTGCAAGGGCCCAGCCCCCACTGTTGACAACAGTAACACAGGTTAAATCTAGGAAAGGCAGAAAACATACAAACACTCACAGTTCACTCTGCAAACCAAATGACAGGAAGCCCGTATCAAACTGACTTAAACAATAAGGACTGATTGCCTGAAACACAAGGGATGGGACTTCAGGAGAGGCTTGATCCAGCAGCTTGTCCGGGGATCTGGTACCTTCTCTGCTGTCCTGCAGGGCTGGCCTCACGCTCAGGCCCCACGCCATGGCCCACGCAGCGCTGCCCCCACTCTGGGCAGTGGAAGAGCAACGCCAGTCCCCGGGAGTCCCAAGGAAGAGGGGGGGTGCTCTCTTCTCCAGGAGCCCCAGAAAATGTCTCCCCAAGTCTCGTTGACTATTTGATTTCACATCCTACCTTGAACCTGCCACCCTTGAACCCCCCCCACCCCCGCGATGGGTTTGAGCCGATCAGCACCTGTCTTGGAGCTGGGGGGTGGGGTGGGGTCAGTCCCACCCAAGCCACAGAGCTGGGAATGGACTTCCCCCGGAGCAAAATCTGGTCGCTGTCAACACCGGGAGGGGCATCAATGCCAGCACGAACACCACGAACTGTCCACTGTATGAGCCAAAGGAAGGAAGGGAGTGTGGCCAGAGAAAGAGCGCTGGTGTCTGGGCCTCCTCCCAGCTGGGTGACACGGAGCATGACGAGATGAGAGGAGATGGCATCGACTGCGTGGTGTCTGTGCCAGGTGCGGAGCTGCTGCTTATACACTGGGCCGTGCAGCCCTTGCAACACCCCAAAAGGCACTCACTGAGCAGAGATTTGCTGAGCCCCCGTTCTGTGCTGGGCGTTACCATAGATACTAAGGATCCGCTGATGGGCGACACGGAGGAGGCGCCCTGTCCTCCCTCGAGCTTCCCTTCTGTAGATGTGATTATCCCCATTTTACAGGTGAGAAAACGGGGGGCTCAGAGGTGCAGCCGCACAGCCTGAGAGTTGCAGAGCCGAGATCCAGTCCCTGGGCCTCTGGCTCCAAAACATGTGTGTTTAACGTGTACGCGTACACGTGGGAGAGCTTTCTCTTTAAGGATGAGACCAGTCCCCTCAGATGTCCCCTGCCCAGGCCAGCCAGCCAAGCCCCTGCCCTGCCTTGAAGCCTTGGACCTGGGTGGAGCTGACCTCGCCCCGGGCTGCCTGGCTCAGCGGGGCCCAGCGTGCCTGCCCTGGCCCTGGGGAGAGTCACAGGAAGGCTTTGTGCATCTTCAGCAAGCCCACCGTTGGAGCCTGTGCCCTGGCTTCTCTGGGAGGCAGCCAAACGCCCTGACAGGACTGTGGGCACCAGAGACGTAGACCTGGCCACCGGACACTTCCTGGCTGTGTGACCTGGCTCAGTTACTTCACCTCCCTGGGCCCAGGTGACTCATCTACAACACTGCCCGTTGGGCGGATAAGGCTTGACCGGCCCTAGCTGTGCCCACTCCGTCGCCATCGCCTGTGGTGTTTTTGCTCAGTGGCGGAGGTTGGACGGAGACTGTGTGGCCGGCAACCGTTCAAGCGCTCACTGTCTGGCCCTCGTGGGAAAGTCTGCTGACCCTTGACCTGGGAGGTGGGGAGAGTTAGCCCTGCAAGAACCTAGGCTCCCGGGGGTCCACTCACCAGTCTGTCTCCTGCTTGTCACCTACCCCAAGGTCTGTTTCCAGATTTAGGGAGCAGCTGTATGGTTGACTCTTAGGACACGCCTGGTACCCAGTTTGTGCTAGTGAACATGAGCTCTTAACCTCCTGTGACTAACCAGGGGGAGGAAAACTGCCCCGATGTGGGGGATCTCCGGGTCAGACCATTCTGCTCTCAGGAGACTGCGGTGGAGAGGGTTGTCACAGCTGCCTTAGCTGAGAATTAAAAGGATTAATGGACGCTGCCGTCTTTGATAGGCTCAAGGCGGACAGCAGCCGTCAGGGGAGGGCTGGCTGTGTAGTTCTGTTCCCCATCCTCCTTGTGAGTGGCGGTGACAATGCCCCCGGATGTGGGCCTCAAGGCCCTAGCCCAGAGCCGCCCGCCCACTGTCCCCTGGCTATTGTCTGCTGGCCGCGGTGTGGCTCAGGGCAGGGGGGGCAGGCCTCCGGGACTGTGGGAACGGATTAGAAGCCCTGGGCTGGCTCCCCTCGGCATAAACTCCTGATCAAAGACATTCCTGGGATGACAGAGCCCTGTGTGCTCAGAGGCCGCCCAGCGTGCGTGCGGGATGCACCCCCACACAGTGCAGCACATGCGTGCCCTCCCGAGCCCACGCCCAGCCACTGCTGGGATTGGCCTTGTGTGATCGCCGGCCCCCACCAAACACGAAGCCAAGACGGCCAAGATGTGCGGGTAGCCGGCTTCCAGGAGGCCCCGGGCCGGATGGGCTGGAAGGGGTGTGGGGAGCCTGGCACTGCCGCTGGGGCCCCCAGGGGCCTGGCGGCGCCCACCTCTGTAATCGTAGCCGCAGCTGCCTGCTCTGGGAACTCCACCTCTTCCCAACGTGGTCCTGGCATGGAACTGCCTCCCCTGGGTGCACACTGCCAGGTCCTGGGGCCTTTCTGCTCTGGCCAGGTTGGCGAGGTGCTGCCTGGGCCCCTGGGAAGACCCCTGCCCCCACCTCCCACCTCCTCACAGAGTGAAGGCCATCCTTGCCCCTTAGGTCATGCAGGACCGCCCCTGTCCCTCTGTACAAGGCAAGCGGGGTGACCCGCGGGAACAGGAACGCCTCGTGCCCCCTACCATTCAGCTCCCACTTCTCAGCACCCGCTGTTTGCCTGGCTGGAATTGGGGGGCAGAGAGGAGAGAGGGTAAGCCAGTCGCCTGTCCTAAGGGCTCACAACAGGCGTGGTGTTTCCTGTGCATCCCAGAGCCACCTGCCTGGGAGGGCTGGGGGGGAGGGGGGCGCGTCTGACATGAGCTTGGAGGGAGGGGGGGCTCTTCAGGCTCAAAAGTGGAGGCAGGAGGTCATCTGGTGTGCCCTGCAGTCCTGTGGGCAGATTAATGGAGTCAGGGAAACTGGGAGATGGAGGTGGGGAGAAGGGGGCGAGATGGGGCAAGGGGGTCGAATAGGATGAAGG